TCTTGCAGTCCATGGTACTTGCAGTATCCTTTGCCAACACCACAACTCAAAAGCAGCAACACTTTGGTCTTCCTTATTTATTGTCCAGCTCTAACATGCATAGGCGGTGATTGAAAATACCATGGCTTGGGTTAGGTGCACCCTTGTCTTCAAGGAGACATCTTTGCTCTTCAGCACTTTAAAGAGGTCTTTTGTAACAGATTTGACCAATGCAATACATCATCTGATGTCTTGACTGCTCCTTCCATTGGTGCTGATTGTGAGACCTCTTTGTTCCATAATTTTTTCTGTGCTAAGTTCATGTTGTTTATGGATTTTTTTTTTGTTGTTGTTGTTAAATCATTTCCTTCATTGCTTTTGTTTCAGTGGTTACTAGTTTACCATAGTATTGGGGGTCTTATCAGACTTCCTCTGACCAGTCATTCTGGTCATTATTGAGTTTTGGGATTTTGTTTTACGTTTTCCCTCCCACTCTATCCAGGATCTCCAGATTTGATCCTTTCCTGAGTCGTTGGCATTGGTAGCTGGGCACCATCTAGTTCTGGTCTTGAGGGCCATCATGTCCTATGACTGATTGCTTCCAGTCTTATTAGTTATTCTTTGTAGGTAACTTTTCATTTTTCCTGGGCTGCTTCCAGGATTCTTTCTTAGTCTTTGGTCTTAGAGAGGTTGATTATGATATGTCTTGATGATTTTCTTTTGGGGTGTATCCTTTTTGGTGTTTGTTGAGCTGCTTGGTTGTATATCTTCTCATCTTTCATGGTATTAGGGAAGTATTCTTCTACATATATCTTTTTTTTTTCTCTCTCTCTCTCTTTTTTTTTTTTTTTTGTTGTTTCTTCCTGTTCTGGAACTTTGATCACTGTAAGTTATCCCTCTTCATGGTGTCCTACATAATTTTTAGGCTCTCTTTTCTTCATTCTTTTTTATGATTGCTTCTCTGAAAGATCAATATGAAGGTATTTGTCTTCAGCTTCACTAATTCTGTAACCATTAATTCAAATATACTCCTCTGCCCTTCCAATATGTAATCTATTTCTGAAATTCTAGTATTACTCTTCTGGGTTTCTATTTGCTGTTTTTGTATGGTTTCTAATTTTCTGTTTATTTTGTTAATTTTTTTTTATTATTATTTTCCTGAATGCTAGAGTTTTGTCTGTGTTTTCCTTGATTTTGTCTTGGTGGCATTTTTGTTTTCCTTGATCTGTTTCTTTATCTGTTGAAGGGCTTTAAGTATAATTATTCTGAATTCCTTATCAAGTAGCTCCAGTACCATCTCTTGCTCCAGAAGATTTTCTGGTCTTATATTTTAGTCATTTCCTTAATCTACACTCTCCTGTTTTTCATGTGTGTGTGTGTGTGTGTGTGTGTGATTTGAAGTTTTCTGTTGTTTCCAAAACACTGTGGTATTATTGTACTAATTTGTTGTTGTAGGTTGGTTTGCTCCATCCTAATTATTTGTTTTTGTTTTGCTTTAATACATGTGGGCAACAAGACAGGTGTGCTACTCTGGTTGCTCATTTGGCAGTACTGAGGCATGCACCATCTGTCTTGGGGTGAATTTGGTAGTGCGTGGGAGTGTGGGCATGAGGCCCTAATTGCAGGTCATGTACTGCAGCTGAGGCAGGCTGAGCAGGTGTTGGCTGCCATCTATCACTGGTTCAGTGGTGGTACTTGCCCAATGGGTGTGGTGAGTATGGCTGGGTAGGGTCACTGGCTCCTGACTAATGGGAGAAGAAAGGGGAGAAAGGAAGAAAAAAAGTGGAAAAAAAAGAGAGAAAAAAACAAGAAGGAGATGAGGGAAAAACTAAGAAGAAAGAGAGAAAAAAAAGTGACACAGTACTGTTGCAAATGCTAACCACCAAACATGGCTGTGGTGGGAATATGGAGCTCACTCTTCAGGAGCATGTACCACTGACTATGGAGGGGTTGGCACAGATGCTACAGACCATGGAGGTGGTGTGGGTGGGGAGTCTTTTCCACAGGGTGAAAAGATAAAACAAGGTTGGGAGCTCCATGATGCTGAGACCAAAAAACTAGATGGTGCCTGCCAACTGGTCTGAAATGGATCACAGTAGGTCTTTGATGCTCTGGGAAAAAAATGTGGAAGAAAACTTAAAATTTTATATATATATATATATATATATATATATATACACATAAAGACCAAGCTTACTGGTCTGATAGAGACTAGTGGAACCCCTGAGACTATGGCCCTTAAACACCCATTAAGCCCAGAACTAAACTCTTTCCGATGGCTCAACTTTCAGCCAAATAATAGGCCTGTAAGGTGAACAATAACACCAGGGAGGTCCTTACAACAACCAATCATACAAGATCAAAAGGGCAGCATTTGGCCAGGTATAAAGCTCAAAAGGCAGGAATAAGAAAGAGGACAAATGGTTAACATAAGGAAGAAGTGGCAAGAAAGATGTTACATTGTAGTGATCATAGTCAATGTTAAGAATCAAAATGCATATGAATTGTTGAATGGAAAACCAATTTATTGTGTAAAGTTTCACCCTGATCCAAATAAAGAGTTGGAAAAAAAAAAAATAGGGGAGAGGGAGGAAGAGGAAGAAAAGTAAAAACGAAGCAAGGGGAAGAGCTAAGAAGAAACAAAAGGAAAACAAGGGAAAAAAAGTGAGTGCAAAAAGGGTATGGGTTGGCATTTGACCTCCTCTAACTTCACCATGGGGAGAGAAAATCACCATCAGCAACTCAATGCTGATTTCTATGAGGCAGTGCTCAGACATGCTGCCACCCTCCATCCTTTTTACCAGTTATGACACCAACCATCCCTGCTATGGCATTCTTTATTGGGTTTGATAATCCATTGTAATGGCCATGCAGAGCTCACAGGCATTACTCATGATTATAAGCTGTATTAGGGAAGGAACAGGTTACAATTCAGTATCAGAAACAACTCAGGATACAGTTCTTCAGTCAGAACAGTTTCTTCTCAGCCATGCCGCAAGCATGCTTCTCTCTGGCCTTGGCTTCTGCCCTGGTCAAGCTAGTGTTACCTCTTTTAGCTTTTCTGATATGTGCCCAGAGAGGCACCTTACTCTGCCAGAAAGGCTCTTGCCTGAAGGCACTCAGCTTTCTCACTCTGTGGGCCAGGAAACCTACCACTCTGTCTCATATTGGTCTCTTGGTTCTGCTGTCTCTGCTGCTGCTGTCTCTCTGCTGCCTTAGTACAGGGATCTCAGATCCAAGGTTGCACTTCACTCCTGGTTCTTCTCTCTTGATATTAGTGAGATCCCCCATTTCACTTCTGGGATGGCTCATTTTAAACCTAGTGGGCTGGTAAAACTCACCAGTCCTCACAATAGGGTTCCATATACCTTATATCCATGGTCCCACTCCCACAAAGGTGCCATGTATCTTGTTTACCTTATTAACAAGCTATCTAATCCCCACGGTAGGCCACAAACACCTCACATTTGCATAGCTCTATTCAGTTATCTGGTGAGAATCACAAAGACCATAGGTAGAAGAGTCATATTAAGTAATTCAGTGCACCACAGTGACACAGCACTCGCACAAATGCTAGCTGCCAAAAATGGCTGTAGTGGGAAGGCAGCATTCACTCCATGAGAGTGAGTCTTGCCAAATGTGGAGGGGTGGGGGTGGGCACTGCCAACCATAGAGGTGATGGTGTGGTATGTGTACCTTGGGATTAAAAAAAAGGGGGGGTAAGAGGAAGACAAAAGCAAGGGGGAGGGAGGGAAGAACTAAGAAGGAAGACAAAAAGGAAAATGAGAAGAGAAGAGCGGCATAGTACTGGTGTTAGATGCCAAACTTGGCTGCAGTGGAAATGCAGTGCTTTCTTCATGGGATGGCACATTGCCAACTGCGGAAGGGTGAGGGTAGGTGTTGCTGACCATAAAGGTGATGGGAGCAGGGTACTTGTCCTATAGGATAGAAAAAGAAAAGGAGGAGGCAGGAAAAGGGAGGGAAAAAAAAAAAAAAAAGAAGAAGAAGCAAAGGAGGAGGGAGAGGGAAGAACAAAGAAGAAAGGCAAACAAACAAAAAAGGGCACAGTACTGTTTGTGGGGGTGGGTTTGACCAGCCACTGGGTGTGTGGGGGTGAGGAGGACTGGACCTCTATTTCCTGGGAGGTTGTGTGGTATAAGTGGGGAGAGCATAGTTCTATGGTTGGTTATCACCATTGTGAATACCAGTGGAGTCTTGACTGAGCAGAGCTGGTTGTCTGGTTCTTGCCCCAATCAAACACTGTTTGTAATAATTCAAAATGGCTACACTGTGCCAGGCCAGTTGGCAATTCACTTCTCCACATGCTTCCCTGTTCACTGTTTCATTCAGTCACTTCTATATGGTGTTTGATCTACTTCTCTATCCTTTCCTTTGAGGTTCTGGGTTCCAGGATGGTCATCCATGTCCATTTCACTTGTATTCTTGGGTCTTTGTTGTAGAGGGTCTGGGTAGTATATCTGCCTAGTCCACCATCTTGGATCAACCTCATCAGTATTCTCTTTAATTGTGTTCTGCTTGTTCTGTTTCTACTTCTCCAGTTTCTCTGCACTCTTTTCTTTCACCTTTGCTTTAAAGTAGTTGTTGACCTTTTGGTCTCATATAGATGTATATTTTTTAAATGGAGAAGTATACTCAATATCCTTGATTTTGTGTAACAGTCTTACTTCACTAAAAGGTGACCTTAAGGGATAGTTTTGGTTTGAGGTTTAAAGAGTATCTCAGGGCAATAATCTCGTAGACTGTCTTACTGTTTTTTTTTTTTTTTAAATAATCATTCTCCTATCATTTTCACTTCATATTTATCATTCCTTTAAAATTTAGCTAATTTTAAAATGTAGATTATTTTCTCTTTTCACTGTTGGGCCAGAAGGGAGATACTAAATAAGTGTTAGTAGTGGTAACTTTACATATTGGAATAGGAATCTTGAACATAAACTGTTATATAGGAATCTTCCTACTGATTCTTTAAAAACTCATCTGCTATATATTTTTGTAAATAGGTATGAGTATTCTTCAAGGAAAGGATGACATATTTTTGGACCTGAAACAGAAATTCTGGAATACATATAAGGTAAGACAGGCTTTTGAAAATGTAATATTTTTTTTTGTATAATTTTAACATTAAATTAATTTTTAATAAAAATAGTCTTAAATTAGGCCTCCAGTTTGGTGGGCACAAGGGTCAAATATTCTGGCAGTGAGATCTTAAAATTTGTTCTGTAGATGAATGAAAAGCAACTTTAAGAGCATCTGTATTTCTGATGGATAGGAAATTTTAGTGAATTTTTTAAATGATTTTTGACTTTATTTTAGTTAATTTTATTTTACTAGTGAATTTTATGTAGTGAATTTTGGAGCCAAAGGGGTTACTGCAAAATGGTAACAATGGAATGTGAGTGGTTTAATGGAATTGTTCTGTTCCAGAGCTACTATTTCCAGGTGTACATTCTGCTAAGTCCCTATGAAAGGAACCTTCTTAACATCACAAACATATTTACAGAGAAGGATAATGTTTCCCAGGATTATTCCTGGGTTTTGAAGCAAGTCACCTGTTGCACTGTTTGCTCAATACAAATATGTATAATCCTGTCCAATAAATATTTGTTCAGTGAAGATTTATAGAGGAGCTCTGGTGGCATAGTGCCTAAGGCATTTGACTGCTAACCAGAAGGCTGGCAGTTCAAACCTACCAGCCACTCCTTGGAAGGAAGTTTGGGCAATTTACTCCATAATGATACTGCCTCAGAAACCCAAGGAGGGGTTGCTATGAGTCAGATCCGACTCATGGCAGTGCACTGGTTGGTTTGTTGGAAGATTTATAGACCAATGTCCTTAAGTCCTAGCAAAATCAGGCATGCCTTCCATCTCTGGCCTAGAACATGTTTGATTCTTTTAATCACAATGAGATAAATTTTTAGGATTTCAGAATAGACATAGATTGGCTTTCAAATGTTCCTAATTCTTTATCAAAAGCAGTACCAAACAATATCTGACTATTATCCTCACTGCTCCTAACATCTTCTGGTGAATGGTACCAAGCCTCAGAACTGGCATTATCCACTTAATGGTTGGAAAGAAAGGACAGAGAGTTTGAAGCTACTGTCTACTCCTAATCTATATTCAGGAACATTTTCTGTTCAAAATTCCTGTTACTTTTCTTGGAGCAGAAATTGTAGGCCCATTGTGACATCCAAATGTGATTTTCTTATATCTTATTTTGGAAAATGGAACAAGTTTTTTCATTATACCATAGATCCTGTGGAGATATATACATGTAACCTTTGAAAAAAGAGCAAGCAAGAAGAATTGTGAAAGAAATGGGCTTTAAGCAGGAATTTTCAGATGTTTCTGAGTCTCCTCTCAGTGTAAATTCTCCTCTCTTTGTGTAAAGATACAGGTTTCCTATTTGGCAAAAATATGAGGACCTTTACATACTGTCTTAAAGAATGGTGGTTACAATGAGTTAGTTTCACTTGTGCCCATGAGAAGAAATGGATTACCAGCAATCTGAAATCTAGCCCTGTTTGGGGACTTTCTTGATGATCTCCCATAATAAGACATTTCTGCCAAGCATTATATTAGGCATTAGTGGAGGATACAAAAAACAAAACAAAACAAAACAAAAAAACCCATAAGTACCATCCTGAAGGGACTTACAGTCTAGTGGGATATATACAAAAAAACAAACTCACTACCATCAAGTCGATTGGACTCTTCGGGTTTCTGAGGTGATATCTCTATGGAAGTAGATTGCCCCGTCTTCCAAGGAGTGGCTGGTGGGTTTGAACCTACAGCCTTCTGGTTAGCAGTCAAATGCCTTAGACACTATGCCACCAGAACTCCCAGCAGGATATGGTGCCAAGTGCTTACCTGCTATAGGACCCAGTGCACACTTACGAGTATTGCTCAAAGCATTCTATATTGCATGTCTATATATTTATTGATATATAGTGGGATAAAAGGTTAGATGTATGTATAGTGGTATATATAGATAACTATATAGACATACATTAACTGGAATGCTTTGAGCAATGCTCTTAATTGTGCACTGAGTCCTATAGCAGGTAAGCACTTGGCACCATTGGAAGTGTGGGGTGGGAATGAAGGAAGGCTTTCTAGGGCAGATGATGCCTGAGCTGAATCTTAAAGAAATGTTGGAGGTAGGCAAATACTTGAAGGAAGAATATTCTGGGAGTAGAAAGAATATAATAAAGAATATGTAAAACATTATAATATGTCTGTAGGGCAGAAACCACAAGCAGTGTAGTATTCTTGGAATTTAAAACATGAATTGATGTTTTCCTAGAGTATAAAATGGCAAACAAGCAGAAATAAGTTTGGGTCTTGCAGGGTGTTGAATGCCATACTGAGGATCTTGAACTTTAGACTTAGGTGATAGTGGCAATTAAGGAATTATTATAACCAAATTCAAGGTTGGGGATTTGAATTCGCCAGCCACTCTGCAGGAGAAAGATGAAGAAAGTCTGCTCAGACATCAACTTCAGTACATTTAACAATGGTATAATACTTTAATCTACCAAGCCTATTCCATTTTTGTCAATTGAGCATATAATAGCCTTTATAACATCTATTTTCCCTCCAATACAGGATCCAGTCTACTATCAAGTTTTGCATTTAGTTGTCATGTCTCTTTGTTGTTATATGCTATTGGGTTGATTTCAACTCATGGTGACCCCACGTGACAGAGAAGAACTGCTCCATAGGGTTTTCTAGGCTATAGTATTTATAGGGAAGGCTGCTAACCAAGAGGTCAGTGATTTGAACTCGCCAGACACTCCATGGGAAAAAGATGAGGCAGTCTGCTTCTGTAAAGATTTACAGCCTTGAAAACTGTATGGGGGCAGTTCTACTCTGTCCAATAGGATTGTGATGAGTTGGAATCAACTCAGTGGCAGTAGGTTTAATTTTTATTCCTATAAAAATCACCAGGTCTTTCTCCTGGGGAGCTGCCAGATGGATTTGAACCTCCAGTCTTTTGGTTAGCAGCCCAAAGTTTTAATTGTTGTGCCACCATGTCTCTTTAGTCCCTATTAACCTGGAACATTTTCTCAGCCTATTTTTATATTTTATGAGATATTATTTTTTATAATTAATTTATTTTTGTTATTGTTGAGAATATACATAGCAGAACATACACCAATTCAGCAATTTTTACATATACAATTCAGTGACATTAATTTCATTCTTCAAGTTGTGCAACCATTTGTACCCTCCTTTTCTGAATTGTTCCTCCCTCATTAACCTAAACTCACTGCCCCCTAAGTTTCCTATCTAATCTTACAAGTTGCTGTTGCCAATTTGATCTCATATAGGTAAATCGTGAAAGAACACAGCACTTGTCCTGGATTGAATTGTATCCCTCTAAAATATGTGTCAACTTGGCTAGGCTATGATTCTCAGTGGTTTGGCAGTTATGTAAATGATCCACCATGATGTGATCTGATATGATAACTCAATCAGTTATAAAAGGATTGGGTTAGAAAAACACCCTTATCCCATCACAGCCCTGATCCTGTGTAAGGGGAGTTTCCCTAAGGTGTGGCCTGTAACACCTTTCATCTTACAAAAAGTGAAAGGAGTGAGAAGCAAGCAGAGAGGGGGACCTACTACCACCAAGAAAGAAGAGCCTAGAGCAGAGCTCATCCTTTGGACCCAGGGTTCCTATTGCTGAGATTCTCCTAGCACCAGGAGACGTAGAGGGACTAAGTCTCTTTCTAGAGACAGCACTCTGCATTAGGACTTCTGGCCTTTTAAATTGTGAGAGAATAAATTTATATTTGGTAAAGCCATCTACTGTGGTGTTTCTGTTGTAGCAACGTTAGATAACTAAGACAATGCTCAAAGCAGGCATTCTTTACTAGTTAAGCTAAATTTATTGTTTGATTTTAAGAAGACTTCAGGGGATATTTTTGGTTTAACATTTAAAGATTATCTCAGGGTAATAGTTTCAGGAATTCATTCAGCTTCCATGGTTCTAGAAAGTCTGGATTCCATGAGTACTTGAAATTCCATTCTGTGTTTTCTCCATTTTGATCAATATGCTTCTATAGATGAAAATGTTCAGTAATGGTAGCTGGGCACCATCCAGTTCCTCTGGTCTCATGGCAAAGGAGGTGGTTGTTCATGGAGTCAATTACCCACACGTTCCATTTCTTCCTCATATTCCTGACTCCTTCCTCTCTTGCTCCAGGTGAATAAAGATCAATTGTTCTACCAATTGCAAGCTTTTAAGATCCCAGACACTGCAAAACACCAAAAGATAGAAGCACTAAACATGGTCAATTAACTGGGATGTCCCATAAAACCATGACCCTAAACCTCCAAACCAAGAAACTGAATCCCATGAGGTGTTTGACTGTACATAAGCAGCCTCAGCAGCCAGTCTTTTTGTTGTTGTTTATGACACGGAAAGTTTTGAGGTCCTCTCCTGTTTTTAAGGAGCTCTGGTGGTGCAGTGCTATTTTTGCTAAAGTCGTCAAAATCATCTAGACACAACTAACAACAACAGCAGCAAATTTTTTTGGTGAACATATACTTAAAATAGATATTTTTTGCAAATGTTTATTGTAGAAACTTTAGAAAACATAGGTTAGTAAAAAAAAAGAAAGTAAGTCTTTTATACCACTTTTAATGATTATTTTGAAGACTTCTAGTTTTTCCTTTGCTTTTTTGAGATATAATTTATGTATCAAGACTTCTATCTTTTTTTAAAAAATCCCTACTGATGAGTTTTTACCAGAATATATAGGGTACAGCCTGTTACAATATGTATATCTAAAATGTTTTGCGGTTCATAAAAATGTCAGCAAATCATTCCATGCAAATAATGTTTTAAGAAATTTATTTATTGATTCTGTATTTTATAAATATACTACTTTATAACTTGCTTATGCTAACAGGAAAATTGCAATACATAAATATATGTTATTATTTAAAAAGTGGTTGTCTTCCAAAATTGGTACTGATTCTGGTTGACTTCTCTTTCTGAACCTATGAATATAACTACTGAAACTATGAATATAACTACAGGAATACCTCAGAGATACTGAAGGTTTGGATCCAACCACTGCAATAAAACAAATATCATAATAAAGCAAGTCACATAGTTTTTGGTTTCCAAGTGCATATAAAAATTTTGCTTACATTGTACTGTAGTCTATCAAGTGTGCAATAGCATTATGAAAAAGTTTGAAATACTGTGAATTACCTAAATGTGGCACAGAGATACAAAATGAGCACATGCTGTTAGAAATATGGCACTGATACACTTGCTTAATGCAGGTTTGCCACATACCTTCAATTTGTAAAAAAAAAAAAAAAAGCATAATCTATGAAGTGCAATAGAGTGAAGCACAGTAAAATGAGGTATGCCTGTAATAAAAATGTTTTGTTCCTAACTTGTACTGTACTTTCTCTATCCCCTCTATTTTAGACGTCTTAGAATAGTAAACCAAACCAAACTCACTGCTGTCGAGTCCAACTCATAGTGACCCCTCCTTGGGTTTCCAAGGTGGTATCACTACAGAAGTAGATTGCCCAACCTAAAGTAGTTTAATTTAATCGGCTTAGTCTGAAATACAATATCACCTTGCTTTCCCATCTGCCTGGTGTTTCTTAATCTTTTATACAATGAACTGTGGGATTATTTTGTGTGATTAAAAGACATTCTACTCAGCATAATATTTTCAAGATTCATCTATGTTGTGGCATGTCCCTGGGCTTCATTTCTCTGTATGGTGAGTAATATCCGCTGTACGTGTTATGTTATGCATTTTCACCTGTTGATGGGCATTTGGATTGTTCCCACCTTTTGGCTATTGGGAATAGTGTTGTAATGAACGTCTATGTACTTGTGTCACTGATTTCAAGTCTCTTGGTATATAACTAAGAATGGAACTGCTGGATCATATGGTAGCTCTTTGTATATCTTCTTGGTGAAATGTCTATTCAGGTCCTTTGCCCATATTTTGACTGTATTGTTTGTCTTTTTATGTTGTAGGAGTTCTTTATATACTCTGCATATTAAACCCTTACCCAATAGATATAGTTCCCAATAATTTTTCTCCCAGTCTATAAATTTTCTCTTTACTTGGTTGATAAAGCCCTTTGATGTAGAGAAATTTTTCATTTTGATGAGATCCCATTGATCTATTTTATCTTTTGTTGCTTGTGATTTGGGTGTCAGTGTTATGCTAAGTAAGTCAATCACAAAAGGACAGATATTATGTGCTGCCAGTAATATGAAATATCTAGAATGTATCTAATATCTAAAATATCTAAATATCAGAAATGTATAAAGATCAGAGTTTAGTAGTGGTTATCAGAAGCAGCAAAGAGGGGGATAAAGGGAATGATTGTTTAAGAAGCATTGATTCTGTTCATGGGAATGGAAAGCTTGGCACTGGATATTGGTGATGATTGTACGACATGATTGATGTACAAGTGAAAGATGTTGAATTGGCATATGTTGTATTATTTATGTTTTTACAACAATAGAAGTTTTAGAAAAGCATTCTAATAGAGTTTTTCTTTATTCCAGAGTGGTCTGATGTACTGGCCTTTCGTCCAGGTGAGTTTCATACCCACTTGGAATGCTAACACAGCTTGAGTTTATATGGAGCTCTAACAGATTTGTTCTCTCTGTTCCAGCTAACCAACTTCAGCCTTGTTCCCATTCACTGGAGAACAGCTTACACCGGACTCTGTGGCTTTCTCTGGGCCACCTTCCTTTGCTTTTCACAACAAAGTGGTGATGGCACATTGAGGGCAGCTTTCACCTCCCTTCATATAAAGGAGGCCAGTGCAGTTGAAAGGCCCCAAGAGAAATGAGAAGCCAAGGATTCCTTAGAATTGATTGTATTTTTTCTTAAAATTCAGATGAACACCTGCAGATAAAATACTGTATTTGCCAGTTGTGTGTTTCATTTGGAGAAAATTCTATCCCATAGACCTATTTCTTTATTAATTATCAATGATAATTTAAAATTTGATTTAAAGTACCTCTTTTTCCATTCTAGTCTGAAAGGATAAAAAGCATAATGTGTTTCTTTACTTTCACTTCTATAATATTGTGATCACTGTCAATGACAGTGACACTGTGACACTTTGTAATCATTAGTACTTCTACTTTGATATTTTAATACCAGTTGATGTAAGGAACCTAGTTTTGATTGTTTACATCTCTATTCTAAAATCTCAGGTTGTCTTCTAAACACTTTTAGGTCAGACTACCTTTTGTACCAAAAATAGTCCATGTAGTAAATTTCTATTTGCATGGAATGGAATTTAATCAAGGAGAAGATAGAATAACCAGATTTCCCCCTCAAAATGCTGTATAATAATTTATTGTTATGTTGATACTAAAGGTCTATAAATATATTTTCTTTCATCAAAAAAGAGAGCAGTGTGTAATAGTGCAATTTGTATTGAATATTTTATTGTTTTCTTGTACTTCTACAATTCCTAAGTTAGATAATTTTTAGTTAATGCTTTTTATTTTTGAGTATATTTAATTGCCTAAAGCGCCTCATTTCCCAGACATATAAAATAAGCAAAACATTTGGCATCTTTCTTTTTTTGTGTTTTTTGTTCATTCATTTATTTATTTTTTAATTGTGATTTGGGTGAAGATTTACAGAGCAAATTCACTTTCCATACAGCAGTTCACATATACTTTGTCTCATGTCACTGACCACAGTTTACCACAATGCAACAGCTCCCCATAGTTACCTCTTCCCAGTGTCCATCCCTCCATACTCTCCTGCCCCCTGAGCTGTCTCCCTGTGCATAAGCAGCCCT